CATGCGTTCGTAGCTACTGTGTAGGGGATGTCAGGACGTCTAGAGGCCAGCCACTGTCCCCTGCAATGAGGTTAACTTGCATGGCAGTGAAAAGGCAGGTATCAGCAGTACACCGGTACGCAGACTCGAACTCACAGCGTCAGATTACAAGACGAGCTTGTAGCCTAAAGGCTACGGGCCGACAGTGAAGGATGAGTCGCGCTATGTCCCAGTTAGACTGCAAGTTTTTACAATCTGCCACCGTCGTCAGTTGTTGGAGCACCGTCACATATATTGGCGGCCCACCGTTGTCGTGTTCCTCGATATCAAAGGTGCATTCGATTCGGTGGATAGACATGCACTTTGGGACTGTCTACTCAGGAAAGGTGTACCTGAGAAATATGTAAATATGATCCGACCATTATATGCGCGTAGCTCGGGCAAGTTGTCGTCGCCCTTTAATATCTCCAGTGGCGTGAGACAAGGATGCCCGTTGTCACCTTTCCTCTTCAACTTCGCGGTTGACGAAGTCATGGAAATCGCGTTCACAGGACACGACTTAGAAGGTGTGGAGCTACTCCCAGGTGAACGACTTCTTGACTTGGAGTATGCTGATGATATTTCCCTAATCTGTGACAGCTCACAAACGTACCAAGCGGCACTGGACAGATTAACAATAGCTGTCCGTCACTTCGGGCTTTGCTTCGCACCCTCGAAGTGCAAAGCGTTTCTCCAAGATTGGTCTGGACCGCCTCCTACGCTGACCCTTGGTGGGGATCAGCTAGAAGTCGTTCAAAAATTCAACTACCTGGGAAGTTGTATCAGCGCCTGTGGGATTGAAGATGAAATCACGAATCGTATAACAAAAGCTGCGGGCGCTTTTGCTAACCTTCGCCACTTATGGCGCCGGCGCGACATCACTCTTGCCCTGAAGGGTAGAGTGTACAATGCAGCAGTACGTTCGACCCTATTGTACGGTTGTGAAACCTGGCCGCTTAAAGCAGCGGACCTGAAGAGGCTAGTTACGTTCGACCACCGGTGCCTTCGTAATTTAGCTCACGTTTGGTGGGAACACCGCGTGAGCAACGAGCGTGTTCGACGCCTTGTTTATGGCACAGGAAAAGGAACTGAACCGCTCAGCACCGTTATTTCACGCATCAGGCTCCGAAGGCTCGGCCACGTGTTACGCATGCCAACCCACCGACTTCCGCGACGTGTGTTGTTTGCGCGCCGGGGGTGTGGATGGAAGAAGAGGAGGGGTGGCCAAGCGATGACTTGGTCCAGAGGAATGAAGATCATCGCTTCGGAGACGGCCTCGGTTGGTGCTTCACGGCTCCCTGATTGGGGTCCGAGAGATGATGAACACGTTTGGTTGGACACACTTGCTGATATGGCTAGGAGCCGACCTCAGTGGCGTTCGTGCTGTGAGTTTCTTTGTCCCACCCCATCCCTCTTAGCCTCCCCCTCCAACCCATTACTTAGCCTTATACAATTTTGCATAATAATTTCTTGGGTGCACAGCAGCCGGCTGGTAGCTTACCGGAACGATGCCCATCCGTTACCGGTAGCTCAGCCAGCTTGCACCAGTTGCATTTTTTCTCCCTTTTTCTATGTATTGCGGCACAGTAGCTGAGGTGATCCCCACCTCTAGCTAATGTGTATGATGATGATGATGAATCAGCCACCGTCCCTTGTTGCTCAGTGACCTTAGCTGCTAGCTAGTTAGTGCGAGCTACTAGCGATTATGGTTTCGGTTCTTGATGGAGCCGGAGGATGCGCACCACTGATGAATCTCGATAGAGCGAAGCGGCTGTCTGGTGCTTTTCCGGATTGGTGATCGGACTATCTGGCTTGTGGGCTACTGGAAGAATAAGTAAAATTTCATCAGATATTCATCTGGTCATTAGTAAAGTTCCGTCTATTCGAATTTCCTAAATATGCAACGTAAGCGAATGAGAGCAAGTAGCGACATTCTTCAAAATGAAGGACAGCGTTGCAGACCTGTAAGATGCTTGTGGCGCAGTAGTAATCTTGCCACGCAATACGCGTGATTTATTCCCCCAAACACCGTTTCCCCTTAATGTCCCGTTCGAAAAAATAGCCAACGAACATCTAGCCTTACCGCTTAGGTTGGTTGTCAAGCGATCAACTAATCGATGTAACGACTCTTCTAGGACCAGCACCTACTGCATGCGTTAGCGCTAGTGAATAAGCTCGCGGTGGCCCAATGATTCCCCCGTCCGTTGGAGGTGTAGTGGTAAAATTCTTCCAAAATACCTAGTTCTACAATGTAACCATAGAATCTAAGGTGTTCGTCTGTGTCAATCTGCATGCGGTTGTTCGCGTAGCTTAGTACACATCCACATTGTGCTCAATTTCGTATCGCACTTGTCTTACATTGCGTTGCTGCCGATTTGGGTAGGATCCAATGGATAGTCTGGTATACCGGTGTCGTCATAGTCGCAGCTTAGACACCCTGTACATAGACTACTTAAATAAACTATCTTGGTGCTTCTTATTTACTGGCAGAATCCAGGCCGTACGCGTTCCGCTATATAGGTGACCCACGACGAGTCGTCACCACAAAATTATGCGTTTGCATCTCGTACACCCGTAACGTAGCTGCATGATCGGATTGGTGGGCCACCAATCCTCGCGATCTACAAACTACGTGTGAAGCTGATCGCTGCATCACTTCTGGTGATTGGATCGATGAGGAACTCCACCGTGTAGATTGTTTGAATGCTTCGTTTCGTGAAATACAAGTCTTTCGATCGATAGCAAGATGTACATAACTTCAGCGTTGGCAATGATCGCAGGCGCACGCGACCTATTAATCGCATTCCATAGGACCGCTGTGTCCGGATGATGTATAGTAGTAGTAATAGTAATCTCAACAGTCTAGTAACTAGACATAGAGCCAGTTAAATTTTTATACGTGAGCAGTTTTGCTCCCCGATAATATGTGCACTGACCTGTACAGGTTCTCCTCAAAAAGAAACGCATGAATGAAAATTTGCCGCGACGAATAATCATTCCGAACTCTTTATTTCGATGCGCTAATCAGAACACGCAGTATCGACCAATGAAAATGCAGCATCAGCGTAGCCTATAGATGCGCCCCTTTCTTCCAGTGCAACATCGCTCAGTTTCCAGCAATTTCATTAGCTGAGAAGGAAAAAGTGGACAACTTTCCAGTTTTTCTCACGATTGGGCTATCAGGGTCGCATGAGGAGGTTGTCATCCGTCCTGAAGTAGCTAGTGATATGTATCCCACAAGATCAATCTACGTTTCTAAATGATGACAGGTTCACTCAACCAAAGTGCGGCCTCGGGGATATCTAAGGTGCATCCAGGAAGAACACACTTGAAATATTCAGATAACTTTTTCCACCTTAAAATTCGTTCCCACGGCATCAGTTCTGCGGCCGTGTACTTCACGTAAGACTATCCGATAACGAGTGAGCTACACCTCGTCCTCGATCCTGTGCTTTTCATTCTTTGGTCAACATATTTGATGCCTCAAGCGTATTTGCACTGTTCACAGTAGTCTTTTATTTGTTTATTTTCAGATCTTACCCCCAAAGAAGAATCGTCTAGTCGATATGTAATCACCCCTTAACCCTTGCCTTTCAATCGTTTGCCCGGATATTGAAAGTTATCCAATTCACTTTTATTCGGGATGCCAGTTTCTATCCGCCTTGTCATTATGTCGAATCATGAGATGCCCAATCACAGTGCCTCGCGGTCTAGATGAGAACTAGAGAGCTGTGACCATCCCTGTGAGATCTCCGCAGTACACAGCGAATTCACAGCCACGACAATTTTTGACAAATGAACTGTTTTTTTTGTGAATTATGACCACAGAGAGCAGTTTCTGGGATCATTGTTGAAAGTGTGCATAAATTCTCTTGATCAAACAAGTTGTCAGAGCTTCGTTTTTATATGCGAATAGACCAACTGTACTAGTGATTAAAATTGGCATACCCGGAGCAAATTTCGACTACGCGGCATTTGTAATGTTTTTAGCGTGAGATCGACCAAAATCTATTTATCAATTCATATCCCGTCAAGTCTCAAGGAAATACTGGGTATGAAGCTTTTACGAACTGATATGTTCGTAAAAGATGGTTGTCGCATACACAACTTGGGGTCATCAATGGTTCGGTACAAACTACCACTGTGAAAGGAAAATCACGGAACACGCAGATCGAAGTTGCGGTTTCCCAAGGTGTTGAAAGTCTCACACGTGTTCTAAGTAAAATGGTAAATATGTGTTAAAACAAGAAGTAGGGCGCTGAAATCTCTCTTTGCATTGTTTTACATACACGCGCCAAGTGTTAGGGGAAAAACAAAGGGGGGAGAATATTTACAATGACCGGGGCAAGGAGTGCTTTTCAGGCAAATAATTTCTGCGACATTGAATGAAGAAATTGGAGTATACGAGCGTCTGCGCTGTCAGATACAACTTGGTCGGGATTGTTCGAGTTCAGGTCTGGGATGGTAATGCACGCTGTGGGAAAAAGAATAGAGACGAGAAATTTCAGTATTATTGTTCGTAATTTACAACAAGTACATCGCTTTTACGCTAGCTCATGTTAAACGGTTCTTGGGAAGACAGAGACGATTAGATGATCCAACAAGTTAAGCTATGAACATAATCACCAAGTGGCTCACAGTTGTATTTCGAGTGCAGCGCGAAGGCACCCTGGGCAAAGGCACTGGCGGAAAGTGTTTCCAGAAGTCGTATATCCCAGAGATATTCTATGACTCCGTCAAGACATTCCAAACTGATGGTATTGTAGAATCCGCCACAGGCTCCACGGATTTTGTCAACTGTCTTTGATGGCTGGCTCGGTTTTCCGTCTTCAGTGGTATTCCTCTGTTCATTCGCGGATGCCACCGAGTCGGTAGCCGGGTTCGAACAATTTGAAATCAATTGCAAGCCAAAATCTATTAGAGAACCTTCAGGACTGATTTGGCTCAGAACCAAGGCTTCCGCATGGCGATTGAGCGCTTGACACGAGCAGATCATCCGGGAGATAAACTGAAAAACGAGGTCAGTAAAGGATACAGAAGAGAGGGCTCCGATGGCCACATGAGAATAGGGCGCAAAGGGCAAACGTGGTTCGAGTTGAGAATGTGATTTGTGCATCCATGACGGGGGAATCTTCAATTGTAACGTACACGTAGCACAAATACATATACATACGAATGTGGATAATGTTCTTTGGTAAATGAAGCTGACAGCAAATTCTAGAACGATTGAGTGCTAGTCTCGCGCTATAGGTGGGGTGGTCGACGAGCAGTAGACAAATGTTCGAACATAACCGAGTGTGTACTTCTGTCTGGTAGAAGTTGAAACACAGTCAAATGATGTGCCATGAAAATGAGTCTTGGAGCAAGCTTTTTGCAAGAACGGAACGCCGCTAAATCGGAACACTTGTTTTAGTCGCTTGCCTAATGCTTTAAAATACTTACCTAGTGGATCTAAAAAAAACTACCACAGAGCGGGTTGTCCAGTGTGGAAACACAGGCGGTGATAGAACGCAGCATTACATCGGTGAGAACAGAGAAAGATCCAACTCCGCCGAAAACTTGGGTGT